AGGTGGGGTAGAAGATTCTCAATCTATGTGCAAGATCATTGGGAAGAAGGCTCAAGCCCAGCTACCTTCCACAGGGTCACTTGACCAATGGGAAACTCACTCCATGTGGTGGGAGTGTGACAAATCAACAAGTTCATGATAGATAGATAGATAGATAGACAACAACAACAAAAAGAAAGTGGGTCCAGCCGGTGTGGCTCAGTGGTTGAGCATCGACCCATGCACCAAGAGGTGGCCGGTTCAATTCCCAGTCAGGGCACATGCCCAGGTTGTGGGCCCGATCCCCAGTGGGGGGCGTGCAGGAGGCGGCCAATCAATGTTCTTTCTTGTCGATGTTTCTAGCTCTTTCTCCCTCTCCCTTCCTCTCTCTCTAAAATCAATAAAGAAAAAGAAAAAGAAAGTGGCCTGCCTGGTGGGATCCGCCTCTGTGGAGGAGAGATCATTGCTTCTCCTCTTGAAGCCCAATGAAGGGGTCTCAAGAGGGTAACTTGTAAAAATTGCAAGTGTCTGCATGCAAGGTGACTCACTGTACAACTTGGATGGCATGGGATGAAGGACAAATTGAAGGGAGATCAGAAATTTAGAAAGAAGCACAGTTCATGGTGATACTTAAGGCTCACTGGATCAAGCTTTGCCTGAAGCTAATGCTACGTCTTGAAGTTTCGGTTATGTGAGCCGAAGTTATTGTTGAAGTCAAACTGAGTCAGCGTTCCTGATACTATAACTCAAACCATCCCTAACGGGTACAGACTGCAGTGCTGCACGTAGCAGAGCCCGAAAAGTGCAATGGGCTGGGGCAGGGGTTGAAGCTGAAGTCAGTGAGGACACCTCTAGCTAGCACAGTAGCTGGTTACCCCCAAGGCCTGTTACAGATTCTGACCAAGGCCAGCGGCCACCATGGTTGCATCAAAAAGGAAAATTCAAAATGTTGGAGACTGGTTTCTTCCAGCATAAATCAGTAAAGCCCATTAAGAAAGAGATGAGCTCACTTTGAAGTTGGCTCCTCTGATACCAGAGAAGCGTTGCTGCCTGCAAACCCAGCTGGTTGAGAATCAGTGATCTGGAAAAGCAAAATTCTCCATTCCAAGCTAATGTTAGTAAAAGCAGAAATGGGAAGATATGAGACTAGGAAGGACAAAATAGAGGGGTCCATAAATGGCCAGATCCTCCCCCTCCTCAGACCCCTCTGTTAAATATTTATCTTGTGAACAAAATGAACAGTCACGTTCTTGTGAAGGCATAGCTGGATGCAATCAGAGGAGAGGTGCTCACTGTGGTGACCTCCCTGCTGTGGCGCCGTGCCATCAGCAGAGGGCAGTGTGGAGACAGAAGTCAGAGAAACGGGGCAGGGGTATGACAGCAAAAGGGATGACCAGAGCTCCCAGGGCTGAGCTGCGAGAGGCTTTCTGGAACTCAGCTCTGGAAATGACACTGGCTGACAGAGTTTTGGATTCTAATTAACCATCCAGCGGAACTGACCACAAACAGATCGGAAGTTTTGAAACACTGAAAGGGAGTTGTATTGCCTCTGAAACTCTAAAGCTGGCCCAAAACAGCACCCCAACAGTGGTCCTCAGACCCCCTGAGAGTTTTTACATCACTGCAGGAGTTTTTACATTACTGATGCCCAGGCTCCACTTAGGTCCAAGTAAAGTCGTAACTTTGGAGAGAGGTCCTCATGTGGAAGTGACTCTAATGGAACTCCGTCTCCAACAGGAAATGGACAGACTTTATAAGGCGTATTCACCCAAGTAGGGTTACCAGATAAAATACAGGCTTCCACGTTAAATTTGAAGTTCAGATACACAACAAATAATTTTTGCGTAAGTCTGTCCCAAATATTGCATGGAACATACATTTACTAAAAAATTATTCATACTGTATTTTGCTTTGCTAACTCTGGCCACTCTAGCCCCCAAGCCTCACCTCAGATGCAACTACGAAGAACACTCCCCCAGAAAGCAGAGTGCGGAGCAGAGAAGGTGAGCAAGTCGCAGGCACCTGGCAGGCAGGTAGTCCTCGCCGGACTGTCGCTAAGGTAAGCACTCAGCACAGGACCCAGTACTCACTCGGTAAGCCCTCAACAAATGCTAGCACCATTCTGAAGAGAGCTGCATCTGTGACAATGAGCTTGTGTGCACAAATAGGCATCATAGCCTACACCACCTTGGTATTCATTCAGGTAGAAAAGTTTCCTAGACCGTATCAGTTATGATTTAGTTATAAGATAATGTGTCAGTTTCAACTTTCAAGGAAAGAATCTCCAGGGAAACGCTCAGCATCACTGGTCTTCAGCCCTGTCTTGTGGTGTCTGCCCCTTTTCATATGTCCCTCCTTTCTCCTAAGTATTCCTCTCAGCCTGTGATTCTGATCAGCTGGGAAAATAAAATCGATAGAGCCATCACAAGGAAAATGCTGGTTTACCATTTATCTAAGTGCATTCAATATTTTGAAACACAGGGCTGGGCAAAACCATTCGACGTGTGTCTGTTGTTTGGTCTAAATCATACAATTTCTGCTGAGGCAGAACTAATCACATTGGTTGATCCACAGACTGAGCCCGAGGAGAACTAAAGAGGGAGGAATGGTGAAGAGGATGTTACGAGACGTCAGAGAAAATACTTGCTACATCACACAATTCAACAGTGGAAATAAATCACAGAAGTTGAATAGGATACACAAACTAAAACTAAAGTTAAGGAGGACCCAAGAGTATGACAGGGGGTGGGGGTGGGACTCACAGAAGAGATGCCTTCCAGAGCCTCAGGGTCATTGCCTGGCTCAGCTGCCTGCTCCCCTAGATGTTACACCTTCCTTGTAGCTTCCAGGCCACTCGGGCCTTCAGCTCCAGTTGGGAACAGATCCCTAGACCCAGGCCTCACTGGGTCAGCACAGGCCTGCGGCCCCTTTTGGTTTGGAAGCTGTGGAGGGGAGTGGAGGGGTTACACACAGGGGGGCCTGGGCCCATTATGGCCTTTCCATCTGTCTCTGCCCCAGACATCTCAGGGCCTGTCTACAAGTTCACAAAATTTCCTCTTAATCTTGAAGTTCACAGCTCTTGCCTGTGTCTCACATGGGGTTCCCCACATAAAGTTGACTTCCTACTCTCCCTCTTCCCCTCTCCCTTTGCCCAGGGGCAGGTCCTCCAGGACTCTGTGCAGGACCCAGATTAGGTCAGAAAACACAGCAGGTGTCCTGCACTCTGAGGGGTCTCAGAGAGCTGAATCATCTGAGGGGGTGCCTCACCCCAGACCTCCCAGTCTCCTTCCCTGGGAGTGGGCATGGAGACTGGCCCTTATGGGACACCAGGACTGGGACACTGGCTGTTGGTCTCATAGTGGCCGTCCACAGATTTGCATGGAATCTGCCTGGAGAAAGAAGAGGAGGAGCAGGTGGTCACAGTGTCAGTGCGAACTGTGAGACGGGGCAGAAAGATTCTAAGTCATTGTTCAAAGGAAAAAGCAAGCCAGCAGCTCCTCGAGGGTCATGAAGGAGAGGAAGGGACAGTGCTGCTCAGCGGTGGGGAGGTGGGGACAAGAGAAGCCAGGAGAAAGTTGACATTTCTTCTTTTCCTGGACAGTTTTATTTCTGAGTCTCTCTTTCAGTGTTTCTCAATCTCTGTTTTGGCTTTGGGTCTCTGCGTCTCTACAGGGAATTTAGTTTTCTGAACAAACTGCTTCTTTGTCCCATCTCTCAGTGGGAAGTGCCATCTGGAATTCATATAGAGAGCCAGGGCCACACTGCTAGGAGTCAGCTGAACACAATTCCACCTCCAGTGGGGCCACCATTTTCCCATCCATAAAATGGGGCTCACTCCCACTCTGTCTCCCAGAGCAGAATAAAATTGCTAAAACCCCCTAGGAAGGAAAATTCTCAGGAAATTGTTGCTGAAATCCCTCTGACGTTCTCAACTTAGAGAGTCTCAGGCACAAGACTCTGGTGTTGTGGTTCACCTCGTGGGCAAAGTGGGGGGACAGGGCAAAAGGAAGAAGGGGGGACGGGCTCCGCGAGGCAGAGCAGGTCTGGGAACAGAGGGCCGTGGTGAGGACAGTGAGGGTGGCCACGGGGAACTCCATGATGCTGGGCAGCGGAGTGTGAGCTCGAGTAGAGGCCAAGGAGAGTCGGGACTGGGGGACTTGTGGCTGCCTCCTTCGGGGTCTCAGCCACATCTTCTCTTCATGGTCAACGTTGGGACATTGGAAGATGGAAACTTAGGGAGCCTGCAGGGGACATTTTCAATCATGGTGTTGGTCGTCCTACTGTGAGTTGAATGAGCTAGGAGAACTTTGGGTCACCACGAGGGTTCAGGCCATTTGCAAAAATGGTTTGGTTGGTTACTTGATAAGGACATAGATTCCACAGTGAGAGGTGAGATGCTGGACCAGGTTAGCTGGTGCTCTCGCCTAAGAACAGATCTGTAGATCAAGCAATTCTCCCAGGAGCTGAACCTTCTGCTGTCACCCCAGCTGTCCCAGTGGCATGGATAATAATGCCATGGAGTCTTGAGAAGCACCACCCAAACTAAAACTACAGCTGGGGTGGACCCAGCAGAATCGGGGAAGCCTCAGCTACAGGAGGGGCAAGATGGAGGCTGGCCTTTCAGACTGGCTCATTCATTCATCAAACACCCTTCGAATCTCACCATCCGCCCAGGGAAGTAGTGTAGGTGCCTGACAATTTGCTCTTTTGGTTGTAATGTGCCTGGCATTAAAATTTTGGTTGCTGAGGTATCCATTTCAAAGATATTCATCCTGAATAAACATAAACCAGCTACACAACTAGATAAAGACCCAGGCTGGCCCACCTATGAATTCTTCCTTTAAGAAAGCCCTGGGTGACCTAAATAATGACCATTTGATTGACCCTGTTTTCCTTTTCCAAGCTTTAATTCCTACTCCTATATTTAAAATTCACCAATAGCCCCAGTCACTGAGCCGCCACTGAGGACTCGGCAACCTCCCCACTCGCTCCGTCCCCGCTGCCTGCCTTCTCCCCCGCAGCGCTCCGCGGGCCTTTCCACCGAGGAAAAGGATCGGATCGTCTGTCCGCTACCCAGAACCTCCACTCTTTCGACCTCTTTGCTGATGCAAGTAAGGGTGATGACCTGCTTCCTGCTGGCACTGAGGATTCCATCCATAGAAGAATTCAACAGAGAAACGGCAGGAAGACCCTTACTACTGTCCAAGGGATCGCTGATGATCACAATAAAAAGAAACTAGTGAAGGCGTTTAAAAAGAAATTTGCCTGCAGTGGTACTGTAATTGAGCACCCAGAATATGGAGAAGTAATTCAGCTACAGGGTGACCAGCGTAAAAACATATACCAGTTCCTCGTAGAGATCGGACTGGCTAAGGAGGACCAGCTGAAGGTTCATGGGTTTTAAGTGCTTTGGGCTCACTGAAGCTTAAGTGAGGATTTCCTTGCAATGACTAGAATTTCCCTTCTGTCCCTCGTCACAGGTTTAAAAACCTCACAGCTTGTATAATGTAACCATTTGGGGTCTGCATTTAACTTGGACTCCTTCATGCAATAGACTGAAAAGAGCCATGCTGTCTAGTCTTGAAGTCCCTCATTTAAACAGAGGTCAAGCAGTAGGCACCTGGCAGTGTCCAGCCTGAAACACGGCAATAACGTGATGTTTCAGCCAAGCCCAGAGCCCCAAGATCGCAGACGGCTATGTCTGGCCAGAAGCTCCTCCCCAGAGTCCCCTGCCCTCAGAGAATGTCACCACCTGAATGGCCTTCGGTGAAGCTGAGAGGAGGGGGGTAAGGCAGCAACGCCTCTGTACCACTAGAGGGAGCCTTCGGTAGTCAAAGATCTCCAGCCTGACCAGGTGGACGGAGCTTAGAGCAGCCACCTCCCCTCTAGTGAGGTGACAGGACATCTGGCTTGCCACCAAGGTCTTTGTGACCAGACATATTCTAGCTAATTACTGTCCAAACACCAGAATTTTAGGCCAACCTTTTATCAGAGTTAAACTTTTGACAAGGGAACAAATTTCAAACTGATATGTCAGACATGTAGCTACTATAGAGCTTGCAACTTACTAGCAACAGCTGCCCAATGCCATGTGAAGTAACAAACTGATTTGGGGGGGGGGGTTCCTCCTTCAGTTTTAATGTTAGGTAATGTATTTAAAACCTTATTTAAAGAAACTTTGTTTTCAGAAACAAAAAAAATAAATAAAAAATAAATTTTAAAAATAAAATAAAATTCACCAATAAAGAGTGGATTCAGCCCTGGCCGGTTTGGTTCAGCGGTTAGAGCGTCGGCCTGCGGTCCTGAGAGACCCGGGTTCGGTTCCCGCTAAGGGCGCGTACCTCGGTTGCAGTTTGTCCCCAGCCCTGGTCGGTTGTGTGGGTGGCAGCCACTCGATGTGTTCCTTTCACATCAATGTTTCTCTCTCTCTCTCTCTGTTCCTCTCTCTCCTTCCCACTCTACCTGAACAAGAAATGGAAAAATGTCCTCGGGTGAGGATAAAAAATAATAATAATAATAATAATAATAATAATAATAAAGAGTGGATCCACAAAACCCTAGGCACCCCACCTTGACCCCAATACAGGCAGAAGCCCAGGTCCATGCTCTCTCTCTCTCTTTAGTCATGACCTTGGTGTGTGGCTCTAGACTTGCTGTGTACACTCCAGGATTTGGGAGTAATAAACCTCATACTTTCAAAGTTCCCTGATGATAGGTTGTTACTGAGGAGTATCTTCCAATCATAATAAGAACCATAAAGGCCGATCCAACCACACATTGGCTCCAGTCTGGGCAATGCAAGTGGGAACTCACCACAAATGGTATGGCCCAGGTGAGTGCCCCCCAGGCATTTCTATGGATATGATAGGATCACTATGGATAGGCTTAGACTGACACAAAATAGTCCTTGGTTCAGCGGGGCTAACTGGGGGCTAATATAAATGATGAGCTTTAACATGTGTTTACCCGTTGACCAGCAAGGCACACTCTCACGGATCTATCCTATAGATATAAACACAGAGATGAAGAAAGTTGTATGCATAATGGTGTTAGTCACAGCTCATTTGTAACAAAAGATGGCCTACAATTAAATAAATTATGGTCTATTTACTTCTTATAATAATAACTAGCCCTTAAAACCTGAGACAGAAAAGGAAGTTCTTGTTCCTCAAAGATCCTAAAGCAAATAAGGAGAAACATAAGTAACAAAAATAAATTAATAAAAATTGGGGGGGGGGGGGAACTCCCAGAACATTTTCTTTTCTTATAGTAAAACACGATGGCGTTCCCAGGGTGTATCTGGGAGCTCAGTGATATCATCGAAGACACTCTTCTTGAAACATCTCCCCTTCCCCCATCATTCTGTTGGCTTGTCTTCTTTGGCCTTGTTACCTCATGGTTACAAAATGACTGCTACTGAGGGAGCCACAAACAGCAGAACACCAACACCCACAGGGAAAATTTGACAGGCTCCAAAACTCACTTAGATAGCCAAAATGGTGAAACAAAGAAACAAATCCCAAATGAAAGAACAAGAGAACTCTACTGAAGATGAGATAAATGAAATGCAGCTAAGCAAATTATCAGAGGTAGAGTTCAGAGCCATGATCTTGAGGAAGCTCAACAGCATGAGTAAGGACATCAGCACCATGAGTAAAGATATAGAAACATTGAAAAACAAGGAAACATGAAGTGCTAATGAAGTGCTAGATCAAATGGATTTAATAGATATCTACAGAGAATTACACCCCAAAACCTCAGAATTCACATTCTTCTCAAGTGCACATGGGACATTCTCAAAGATAGACCACATGTTAGGGCACAAACTAAGTCTCTACAAGTTCAAGAAGATTGAAATCATATCAAGCATCTTCTCAGATCACAATGCCATGAAACTAGAAATCAATTGCAACAAGAACATGCAAAGACATTTGAAAACACGGAGGCTAAATAGCATGTTATTGAACAACGAATGGGTTACCATGGAGATCAAGGAAGAAATTAAAAACGTCCTGGAAACCAATGAAAATGAACACACAACAACACAAAATCTTTGGGGTGCAGCGAAAGCAGTTCTGAGAGGGAAGTTCATAGCACTACAGGCCTACCCCAAGAAGCAAAAAAAATTTCTAATAGACTATCTAACCTCACAACATAAAGAACTAGAAAGCACACAGAAAGAAAACCCCAGAGCAAGCAGAAGGAAGGAAATAGAAAAGATCAGAGCAGAAATAAATGACAGGGAGACCAAAAAAACAATTCAAAGGATCAATGAAACAAAGAGCTGGTTCTTTGAAAAGATAAACAAGATTGATGGACCCTTAGCTAGACTCACCAAAAAACAAAGAGAGAGAACCCAAATACACAAAATCAGAAATGAAAGAGGAGAAATAGTAACTGACACCACAGACATACAAAGGATTGTTAACAGATATTTTGAACAATTTTACGGAAACAAATTCAACAATGTAAGCAAAATGGACAAATTTCTAGAAACATGTAGTCTCCCAAAACTGAAAAGATAGAAAAACTTGAACAGACCAATAACAACAAAAGAAATTGAAGATGTAATCAAGACTCTCCCAGCAAACAAAAGCCCAGGCCTGGACGGCTTCACAGGAAAATTTTACCGAACATTCAAAGAAAAACTAATACCCATTCTCCTCAAACTATTTCAAAAAATTCAAGGAGAAAGAAGACTTCCAAACTCGTTTTATGAGGCCAGCATAACACTAATTCCAAAACCAGAAAAAGACACTACAATGAAAGAAAACTAGAGACCAATATCCTTGATAAACATAGATGCTGAAATCCTGAACAAAATACTAGCAAATTGAATTCAGCAATACATCAAAAAAAAATTATTCACCATGACCAAGTGGGATTCATCCCAGGGATGCAAGGCTGGTACAATATTTGCAAATCAATAAATGTGATACACCACATAAACAAAATGAAAGATAAAAATCATATGATCATATCAATAGACGCTGAAAAAGCATTCAACAAAATCCAGCACCCATTTCTGATAAAAAACGCTCAGCAATCTGGGAATAGAGGGATCATATCTCAACATAATAAAGGCCATATATGAAAGACCTACAGCCAATATCATACTCAATGGGCAAAAATTAAAAGCATTTCCCTTAAGGACAGGAACAAGACAAGGATGCCCATTTTTGCACTCTTATTTAACATAGTACTGGAAGTCTTAGCCACAGCAATCAGACATGAAGAAAAAATAAAAGGAATCCAAATGGGAAAGGAGGAAGTGAAACTGTCATTATTCGCAGATGACATGATACTATACATAGAAAACCCCAAAGACTCCATCAAAAATTTACTAGACTTAATAAATGAATTTGGCAAAGTAGCAGGATACAAAATTAATGTCAAGAAATCGATGGCATTCTTATACACCAATGATGAACTCACAGAAAGAGAAATAAAAAAAATCCTATTTACCATTTTGGCAAAAAAATTAAGATACCTAGGAATAAACTTAACCTAAGAAATAAAGGATCTATTAGCAGAAAACTACAGATCATTGAAAAAAGAAATAGAGGAAGATATAAAAAAGTGGAAGCACATACCTTGTTCATAAGTTGGAAGGATTAACATCATTAAAATGTCCATATTACCCAAAGCAATCTATAAATTTAATGCAATCCCCATCAAAATACCAATGACATACTTCACAGAACTAGAACAAATACTTCAAAAGTTCATATGGAACCAAAAAAGACTTCGAATAGCCACAGAAATCTTGAAAAAAAAGAATGAAGATGGAGGGATCACATTACCAGATTTCAGGTTATACCACAAAGCCACTGTAATCAAAACAGCCTGATATCGGCACAAGAACAGGCATATAGACCAGTGGAACAGAGCAGAGAACCCAGAAATGGACCCAAGGCAATATGCTCAAAGGGGGCAAGAGCATACAGTGGAGTAAAGACAGCCTCTTTCATAAATGGTGTTGCGAAAATTGGACAGCTACATGCAAAAAAAAAAAAATGAAACTAGACCATCAATTTACACCATACACAAGAATAAACTCAAAATGGATAAAAGATTTAAATGGGACTCATGAATCCATAAAAATCCTAGAAGAAGATGTAGGCAACAAAATTTCAGACATCATACGCAGCAGAATTTTTACTGATACATCACCTAAGGCAACAGAAACAAAGGAGAAAATGAACACATAGGACTACATCAAACTCAAAAGCTTCTGCACAGCAAAACATGCAATTATCAAAATGGAAAGGCAACCCACTGTATGGGAGAGCATAATTACCAATGATATATCAGATAAGGGGTTAATTTCCAATACATAGAGAGTGTTCATACAACTCAACAAAAGGAAGACAAAGAACCCAATTAAAAAATGGGCAGAGGAACTAAATAGACAGCTCTCCAAACAGGACATACAAATGGCTAAGACACATATGAAGAAATGCTCAACATTGCTAATCATCAGAGAGATGCAA